GTGTAGGTGTCGTTTTGTGCTGGTCATTTTAGCTTTTCTAGTTGGTATTTCGTCTATGCAACATCAATCGTGTGTGTAGCCTTCCATTTTTCCGGTATTGTCATTTTGGCCTTTTTTTTATGAGAATGTTATGCCGTTTGAAAAAAAAAAAGCTTTTGAAAAATGAAAACCAATGTTTTGGAAGTCTATGGAGGTGGGCAGAAAAATGGAAACCAAGGTTTTTAAAATATAAATTTATTTATTTATAGTTATTTTCAAACATAATATACAAGTAATAGAATATAAAATATATTGATTAATATGATTAAATACAAAAAAAATCATTTAAAATATAATATATTTTACTGTTATTTAATTTTAATGGATTTTTTTTTTAATTTTATAATTCATGCATATTTAACCTATAATTATAAAATTATATGTTAATTATAATTAAGAAATTACAAGCATCTAATCATAACTAATTTCGCGATAATCGAGTGAGTGTCTAAGAACATTTTTAACGGTCTTTCTGTTACTCTATTTTGTTGCCAATGGCTCAAATTATCCTACGTGCCATGAAAAATGTCTATAAGTCTAGAAGTCTTTCTAGATGTAGAATAGTAGAAGTCATTATAAACAATTTCTATTTTATATTATATTGTATGTTCAATTTATCCCTCTTCTCCAACCAATTACAATTTTACACATAACAAATTATATCACAATTAGCATTAACCATTGGAGATACAATTATTTAATTTTCTTTCTTCATACCGTACAACACAAAATGAACAATGTTCCATTAAATATGCTCTAAAATGTATGACAGGACAAAAATGGTGGCGCTTAAGTATAAAGCAGGGAGATTGATTTTTAGAATACCAAAAAATTATACTCCAACCCAAGTTCAACGAATATCAATTAGGTCCAATGATATTCTTAGGCAGAGTTATCTAGAAAGAGTCCAGTCCAAAGCAAGATCAATATTGTAGTGCGAAAAAACTTGCTCCAATGTGCGCTAGATTAGTCGTACTACTCTGAAAATATGAACAATATTGCGTTATATGTAGTACTGCACTATACACAGTGTTACAGATTTTTTTCCTTCAAATTTATTTCTTAATTGATTTTTATTTTTAAATATCATTTTGATAGAATATAAATCAATAAAATGATTTATTTTGTTAAAAAATTTAGAAGTTTGATTTATAGTTGTATTTAAATTTTATTCTGCACTAAAAATTTCATATAAAGTAAAATGTGGTGCGGACGGCGAGAGATGAAAGTTAAATTTGGCACTATCTACTCTATAGTAGAGTAAAATATTGGAGATGATCTAAGAGTAACTCTATGCCACTGTACAATGCAATTAGTAAAATTTTGTTATGGACTAAATTTGCGTACTATTCTCAATTCATATTACTCTAAATATGTGAACAAAGCGGTATTTTTCATCGCGCCACATTTTATTCTCATTTTTATTTTATTTTTTAATGAAGTTATGTCTATTTATTATTGTGACAAAGTATGCAATAACAAATTTATTTATTTTGCTAAATAATTTAAAATTTTAATTTATAATTGTTTTTAAATTTTGTGTTGTATTAATATTTATGATAAAGAATTTCACGGAGAAAAAAATCGGTATTACACGGGTAGGGATGGCAATGGGCAGTGACGGACCTGTATTAGGTCCAAGGGGCCCGTGGGCCCCCCTTAATTTTTTCTTAAAACCATTATATATATATAAATATTTTTAACCATTATATATATATAAATACTATAAAAATGAATAAAAATGTAAAGAAATATGTAGAATATATAAATAATTAAAATTTATCCTCAATCCTATTTTAATTTAAAGTAAATAATATTATTATTTATTGAAAAATATATTAACAATCATTATATTTTACATTTTTGGATAAAATTTTAAAAATATCTATAATAATTTAACTCTTTCGGCCTTTTAATTGTAATTTCAATTTGATGATTTATAAAACTTAAAATTTAGTTGGATTGTTAGATTTTTTGAATGTTAATCGATTGTATATTTGAATGTTGATTTTTTACTTTATTATTTTTTATGTGTTGGTATGGCTCATATAGTGACAAAGGAAAGGGGCAGGTTGATGCCTACGAGCGTAACGGAGCGAACATAGCGAGGGAAGCGGAGCGACCGAGCGAAGTGAGCGGAGTGGAGCGAACAGGGTATTTAAGTAAATTTATACCTTGTAGGGTTTTAGTATAAATACATAGTGTATTGATGTATTTGTTACTATTGAGAATAATAAAGATCCCTCAGCCGCCGTGGACGTAAGCATATTGCCGAACCACGTAAATCTTGTGTTGTTTACTTTCTCATTTTTTAATTCGTATGCTATATTGTCATCGTTACACAACATTATGTAATCACATACAACTTTATTTACTTTTATTAAAAAAATAGTCATTTGATAAGCTCTAATCAACAAAAATGATATGCAATGTGTTCAAATTAAATTAAATTTTGAACATAAAAAAACTTATTTTTCATAATTATAGATCTTAAACTTAAATTATAAACACACGAAATCTCATTTTTTTTCTTAAAAAAAAGCTTGAGGATGATATGGAATTTAAGTTCTTATAAAAACTTGAAGGTATACACATTAATATTTATAATTATAAGTAAACACAACTTTATATGAAATGAGCGTGTCTACGTAAATTACAAATATTTAACACTTAAAATCGGGCCCCCCTGAGTTAAAATCCTAGCTCCGTCACTGGCAATGGGCGATGTCGTGCCGGGTAGTTCCGGACCCAGACCAGGCCCGCAGATTTGACCTGCTGCCCCGACCTGGCCCGTGACCCATTGCGGGTCCACCAAGATTGACCCATGACCTGGCCTGCGTCGGGCGGGCCGATCCGCCCTGGCCCCATTTTTATTTTAGTTTTTGTAACAATGATGCTCTATTAAATCAAGAAAACGCTATCTGAAGAAAATTTACTACAATTGAAGAATTATCCACGGGAAGAAATTCGATGAACCGAAGAACATGTCATTTTTCTCCCCAATCTGCGTATGGTGCTTTTTTTTTATCCGAATTTAGCCGATGTAATGACCAGGTCGTGACTCTAATTTATTGATGTCTTTTGTTGAGGAGAAAATTTGCCTGTGTGAATTGAAATTCAATTGCGTGTTGTGAAATAGAGATGAAGGGGTGCACTCTGGATAGAAGAAGAAAAAAAAAGGTTGTGAAGATGAATGTGTGGTGTGTGTGGGTTGTGGGTGGCGTGGGAAGAGTGATTTATTTAAAAAAAAAAAATATAGAAATTAAGTGGAAAAAAAAAAGAAAAAAAGGAGTGGACAAGCATAAAAACCACGTATTCCTTGAATACATTTTTTAAAAAAAAATTATTTAAGAAAACGTATTCCTTGAATACGTTTTCATTTAAATGTTTTAATTAAAAAAAATCGTAAACAATTTTCAAAATAATTTTCGTTAAATAAAAATAAATAAATAAAAAACGTATTTGACTAATACGTTTTCACAAAACGTATTTACTAAATGCGTCTTTTTTTTTTAAAAAAAAATACATTTAAGCAAAACGTATTTAAGGAATACGTTTTACATTTAAATGCACAGAAAACGTATTCCTTAAATACGTTTTATGTAAAATATATTAAAAAAAAAATCTTCTTCTCCATTCATTACGCGAGCAGCACAGCACAACATAGAGCAACTACTGAGAGCATTCAAAGAGAAGAGCGAAAATACTTGAGAAAAAAAAACTCGATCCAATCTTCACTCTAACGTGAACCGACAACAGCGACACGAGCCTTATTTTCGGTTAATTCATTCGCACGAGGTATATTGGTTTATCTTAACTTTTTATATTTGTTTGGAGTTATTTGGAGATTGATAATTGTTATAATATATTTGAATGTGTTGGTGTTTGAAACTTGAAATTGCTAATTGATTAATGATTATGTGTGTATGTTGAATTGGAGATTGAAATATTATGTGTTAATTGTCAATTTGGTTGTTGTTGTGGTTAGGGTTTTTTGAAATTAGGGTTTCAATTTATCAAAATTATAGATGATTTATATGTTATTGTTCGATAAGGGGATTATTTGATTGAGAATGA